TTATCTTCTGAGAATATCCTGTGGAGATTATTTCAGTGCCTCCAAGAAAGATGCTAAGCCTGGCCTTAGAACAGGGTCAGCGGAAATTTTTTTGTAGTTCACTGTTTTCTTCCGATCTGTCACACCACTGTTGTCACTCGCCTTGGTAACCTGATCTAGTGACTGGTGGCTACTAAATACAAAGCTACAACCTTTCAAAGACTACAGCCTTGTACAGCCAGGTTCATACACGGATAAAAATTGTGTTGACGTTTTATGCATTTTGAAAGCATCCTGCCAAATACAACGCAAGAAGCATAACCGCGTTAGAACATACGCCACCCATTCCTTCGGCTCGAGATGCCCGGCCACGTCACTCAGACTTAGATTTATAAACGTCGCGCAATTAACTGACCGGTAATGACAGGTCCGCGTGTTTCGAGTAAATCTCATTAATTATCTATGGTCCGGGGCCACGGCAGCGTAATTGGATAAAGATGAAGAACTAAAAATAGTTGGATCTATTAGCTCTTCTAGTGCTCTGGAATGAGGAAGCGGGTGTTATATCTCTCCTGATTACTAAACTACGCGTTTCTATGTCGGGAACGAGTAATGAATCGCACGGCGGGAAGGTAGCTCATTCTGCGATTTCCGGGAGCAGGCCATCACTTTTCGGACTATTTATAAGAAGGGCTCCATAGGGAAATATTAACTACTGCTGTGAATAGCACGGTGTGTCAATGAAAGTCGGTCCCCATGGATTTGTACGCGAGACGCAGCCAGATCCGACACTTCCAATACCTTAAGTGTTCGCCGTATGTATGCAAACCCATTGCCTTGTTCGGCCATCGTTGTCTGGTTCCCCAAAGCTTCGACGGTGATCCTATTTTGCTGTTGGACGAAACACAGCAGGCTCATGACTCGCTGTCTGCCTTCTCACGTGTGAGCTTTCCCTTTGTTTTGGATTTGTTTTGTCTTCAAACACGATGTTTTTTTTTTAATCAAGTGATCACGGAGGCAAGCACTACTCCTGTGCGTGATTATGTGTATACGTGCATGCAATAAAGGCTTTGCTTTGAAAAGTGAGCTAAGTGTGCATTGGGGTTATGAAGAACACTTTGGGTAACCCTAGTTTCTTGTTTCTCTTCAAGTTCAAACAACGATTGGATTCTTGCTCTTCTCCCGAAATGTATTAAAGTATCTTGAAGGCTTATACACTGAAAATATGCCTGAGGCAAACAACCATCCCACGCCGTACACTTAAAACACTTCCAAAATGGCCTTCTCTCTCGTCTCGTTTCTCTCGGGACAAGTTGCTCATCCAGTCATCAACTCATCGAGTCATCAACGCTACGGCAGTATGTTACCGTCGGTTCGCTGCGTACGGCCGATGAGCGGCCAGGCAGACGGGTTGCCTCGCGCCGTGAGTCTGCCGCACCCCGCTGAACCCTGCTATGCGCACCAGACCGGGCCTGACGGAGGGACATTTTCTACTCAATTTCGCTTGTGACAAATGCCAGCACTCCACGGAGGGCTCGAAGCTAATGGCGGGGAAGATGTCGACGATTCTCGGCGAGTCAGACCACGGTAGCGGCATCTAACCAGCTGTTCAGTGCTTGAATTGTATAGGGGACGTAAACACTTGGAGAGCAATATTATAACGTTTGCTGTGTTCATTTCTGCGGAAATGATTAACAACGTCTTCCACAAAAATTAAGCATCCGGAGGAAAATCTAACCTACGCCAAATGTGAGCTAAAGTGAGACTAGTTCTGTATATCCTTTTAGGTGCATTCGTGTACTGGATGTATTTAGTGGATGGCAGTGACTGTCACAAATGTGAATAATATGGTACAGTGCCCATGTGTAGACCTAGGAAGCGATGTGACAAGGCGACTTCGGATTGAAACGCCGGTCGTGGTGTAAGACATGTATCTGTTTGTGTCACAGTTTGGCCGACTGTGGTGACGGCATGATAATGTCAGAGAGAATGTTCTCGAAATGTGTTTTGTATCAGTCCTAAAGTTTCCAAATAAAAAAAGAGGTTTACTCTAAACACTCCATATATTCTATACCTCGTGATTCGTGGCAAGCTTTTGCTTAGTTACATAAGAGACGCCTTGCAACAAGCACACTGTTCTCAATGGATAAGAAGGGCACAAAGGAACCAGTCCATTCCAGAGATGGTGGTCGCTATGCAAAAGCTTTCCCTAAATCACTAGGTACAGCAACAGTGTCTTTCGTCTGGGGAATTCAAATTGTTATGTTTATGTTCAATCAGATAACTCAATATACCAGATTTATTCCAATTTAACTCGCAAGAGGCTTATTCCATTTGAAAAGTGTCTGACCAGTTATTACCAAATAATCACTACATTCAACACTTCACCGATTGCAAAGATATAAGATCTTTCATCTCATGCTCGAATTTGAGTGAAAACTGGGACAGAAACAAATTCAATGCAAATGGTTGTCGTCACTGTTTTACGTAGACCCTGTGAACCCGCCTTGGCCCCAAATATGCTCCTCAAATCTGAAAACCAATAAACTCCTCGTCCTGAGGTACCTCAACCACACTACTGCTGAGGATATAAAGCACTTTAAACATTTAAGCTCAAACAGCATACAATGCACAAATACAACGAGTGCTAAATTCAACTTGATAGGAATTCGGGTAAACATGATTATCTCCTACAGCTGATGACAGCACACATGTAAATCGCTGTCTAATAAAACCGCCCTTGTTGTGTGGTTTTTGGAGCATTGCTGGCGCGACGTTTCCGCCATAACCACACTTGAGAGCTAAGTACCAATGAACAGCAGTCGCATGCCTCGATTTGTCTGAGAGGGGACCGGGCTGTGGGCTATTTCGCTAGAAATGTACGCGACTGCTTGCCATTTTTATTCTGACAGTTCCCATGACGAATGACCGTCAATTAAATAGCAATATCGGCAACCAATTACTCTCTTGGTGAGAGAGGTAAAATCCCCCTTTAGTCAAGTTGCGCTGATAGTGAGCGGGAAACGACAGTGACCCTTCTGAGTGCTTATGAGGCGCAGCAGAATTATTGCTTTCTCTCCATATAGCTGTATTGATTTTGTGCCGGGAATAGAATGCGCATTTTACAGCGCTGCCGCTCACAGCAGTCATTTCCAACTGAGCGCGTTCTTCACGCAAACCATAAATCACTTTCTGTGTTCCGTTCATCAAGCGTTAGCCTATACCTCAGTCAACGCCATCTGCAGGTGAAACGACAGCTCGGGATGTGCGAAGCTCGCAGACTGACGCCAATAACACTGTCGCCAGAAAGAGAGTTCCTTTCAGAATTTTTTTTACGATAAAAAGTAAAAATAAACTGCAGGCTACGGGGGCCTGAATTTCCAATCTTTTTTTGTTGGTGTTTTCTGCCTTTGAGAAAGGTTCAAACGTCCGGCCCCCCGACAGACCTTTTGCGATGACAAAATTCTGGGATTGATTTGGAGTATTGAAATTTGTATTGAACTTTATTTACTA